GGGAGGAGGGTCAGAGGGAGAAGCAGACTCCCTGCCGAGCAGAGAGCCTGATGCGGGACTCGATCCCGGGACTCCAGGATCATGACCTGAGCCGAAGGCAGTCGCTTAACCAACTGAGCCACCCAGGCACCCCGGTATGCAAGTTTTGATAGACAGCCATAAAGGACAGAGCAGAGGGTCAAGTAGAGCCTTGGCATCTGAGCCAAGCTGGGCCTGGACCCAACCAGGTTCTGTCCTGCTCCACCATGACTCCGTAGCCAATGCCTGTCACCAGATAGGCCAGCTCCAGTGACCCGGGAAGGGCCGGGTCAGGAACTGTTCATGTCCTGGCACTCCACCCCAGATCCTGGGCCTGCTGCCTGCATGCTCCAGGGATTCTGGCTGAAACTCCAGCAGGCCCATGGGGCAGAGGGGTGGGTGGGGTAATGGTGAAGGCTGTGGGTTTCCCACCCCTCCCAGATTCCCCCCATCACCCTTCTCCCACCTCTACTCCCGTAATCTGCCCACTGGGAAACTCAGGCTCTGTATTCAAAACCCTGAAGCCCATTAGGGGCCGCCACAGGGGAAGGGGCACCTGCAAGCTTTACATCCTGTGGCCCCTAACCTCTAAAATCTCTAGTAGGACTTCATTTGAACAGAGTGTTCCTTAACTGTAATAAAGATTTGGAAAACACACTATAGGGAAGTTGTAGAGGCCTTACTTGCTGGAAGAGGGGCTGAGAAACTTCACTTCTCAAGAGCTATGCTGGCTGGAGGGCTGCCCTCAGGAGTAGGGAGGGGAGCACAAAAGAAGGGACATTTGTTGAGCACCTACTGGGTGCTGAGCTGGTCATTGACTCGGAAATGTGCAGCAAGGCAATTTCTGGAAAGCAAGAACTACCTCCTGGGTGAAGTTGGCTGACAGGCAAGGAAATGGGCTGCCCTGGGAGGGGTAAACCGCCTGACCCTGGGGTGCACAGGTAGGGGCTGGGTGACCCAGCAGGCCCTGTAGGCAAGAGTTCACTGTCTGCGAACACCTTTGGGCAGGAGAGACTGTGCCTCAGAGCAGAGTGTGGGTTTCTACCCTTAGAGGCCAGGAACCCATCCCTTCATGGGGAGAAGAGGGGCAGCTGTACTCTGATCCCACTCTCTTCTCCTCTTACCAGTGGAGAAACTAATGCTCAGGTGCTCAGCCGGGAGTCGCATTAACAAAATGGGCAAGGACCCAGGGCTCCATCCAGAACATTGAGAAATCTGCCTTATACCCCTCAGGGGGTCCAGAGAGGAGGCCCTGCCTCAGCTGGAACCCTACTCTCACACTGCACCTCCCAGAGCTTGGCAGGAGAGAAGGCCAGCAGCTTCTCCAGGGGCCCAGAGGATCCCACCTTTGGGTCAGGCTTTATTCAGACTGGCTGCCCAAAGAAGAGAGAGGTGAGGGCTTGCCTAAGCATGCCTCTGTTCTCCCCAGATGTTCGTGGTAGCCGAGGCCGAAGCAGGCTCCTGCCGTCTGCACGAGTTCACCGTCTCAGGCACCACTTATGCCCCGGAGGGCGAAGTGTGAGTGCTGGGCAAGGGGTGTGGTGGGCGGGGTTCCCCGGTGAGCTGGGCCAC